GTTTCCACGCTTTACAATGATTTAATACAGGAGCTTCTTTATTATTTCAGTACTTTTGACTACGGTAGTTTCGTTTCTCTTCACTGGATGAAACTGGATGAAACTTCTACCAAGTTGTTTGTGACCCTTTTGCACCCATTCATTTCTGAGAGTCAGAATTCTTTGAACCATATTAGTTATTATTTGGATGATAGACTGAGCACAAAGCCGGTGAAAGCGTTACTCAGACATGTAAAGCTACAGAACACACGACCCTTTTGATTATCCGTGACTTAGGTTTTGGATTTGGGCCAGGACCTCTCCAGGACCTCTCCAGAGACTTCTCGTGCTGCACACCTCCATGGGAGTCCTGAGATCTGTCCAGACCAGCTGAGAGACCGCCCAGTGTGACCTGAGTCTTTCTAGGGGAGGTCCAGGAAACCTTCTAAACAGATGCCCGAGCCACCTGATCTGGTTTTTTTCAACATAAACAGAGCAGCGGTGCTACTTCTGTGACTGTGACCTCATAGTGACCACAGTCCACATGGGTTCCACCAGGCAAAAAGGAACACAGTGTTCACAATGTGACGTGACCTCCCCCAAACTGCGAACAAACTAAAGGTGTCACAAAAAACACAAACCTGCACATCATATGTCTCCTCTCAAACCGAAAGGTCAAGCTCAGAAAACGTTCTGTGCACTTTCAGTCCTGGATCGAAACGTGCAGGATTGTGTGCAGAGAGAGCACACATACTTTTCTGCTGTAAACTGCTGTCGATGGTGGTGAGGCTTTATTTGTATTGAGGCCCATGCTCCGTAAGGACGACTGAGATGGGGCTGTCCCCGGGGGGCACATGATCAGAGCGGAGGTAGTCTTTCTCGCAGCAGGGTGCGTATACGCTGCACAACATCCACTCAAACTCAAACATGGCTCTTCTATATTATTATCACACATGGCTGGAAGTGTGGAAGTGCAGCTCTGGAATTTTAAATAGGACAATGAAGGCAGTATCCACTTTTAAAGCTTTTGATGAATTTTGGCACAAATGACTTTACTAAGAACCAGTCAGAAGAAAAAGAACCACTGAAAAAATTTTACTTGAAAAAATGAAGCCTTTTGAATCAAACATCTTAGTATTTTTATAATAGTAAAATAGTAAACTTCCTTGTTCAATAAAAAGGCTAAGATAGTTTTGCTTGATGAGCTTGGTCTACTTTCTAAAAGTTCGCTATAGCAGTATGACAGATGCCAAATCCCTCATAAGTAAATCATTGAAATGACTATCAAAGGTTACTAGCAATTTAAATGACATAAGGTTTTTGACAAAAGGCCCTCATAGAACACAAGATGTACCTTTATTCATTCAAGAAAGCACACTCAATATTATTAGACCAGTGAAGTGTTGTCACATTATACCCACACCTCTTTATAGAAATGAACGACTGAACGGCGAACCCCCCTGACCTCATTCACCTACGATCATGTCCCTGTGTGAAACTCGGGCAGAAAAGCGCGCTTGGATCAAAGCAGAAAATTATTATTGACACCGGATCGATGTTTAGAATAAAGACATTTCTGAGGGAGCCGCAGCTTTCCGCCCCATTAGAGACACACTCACAATCAAACGCTCCATTTCACCCCAATCCCCCTGCGCCCTGATGTCTGCTCCTCTGGCTCTGCTCCTCTCTGCGCTTTCAACACCTCCGTCTCTGCCTTTACATGCAGAGAACCAGACTGCTGTCAATTTGGCTTTGCCGAAAACTCTCAAGTCAAAACATCGATCTACTGCACAGTGCACTTTGCATTGGTCATAAAACTTTGGAGATATGACATGATGGAATCCAGCAAATACTGTAGATATACACTCATTTTCAGACTTCATTACACAGCTTTACATTCAAGTATTTTACTTTTGTAGTTTTTACTGGTCTAAAAAAAGTGGTCAAAAATAATGAAATAGAGGATCTATATATAAAACGGGGGTGCCTCTGTGTTCCCGACTGACCTGTCCTCCAGAGCCTCAGGGAGACTATCCATGACTCCAGGACTGACCTGACCTATAACAGTCCTCTTCAATTTAGCATATGGTTAGGAAGGTAAGACTCAGGGAAGACAACACATTTTAGATTGTCAGTCAAGCTGCATATGGAGTCAGTTTTCCGGGGAGAAATATGGTAACTTGATTACTATCCGCTCTTCCTTCCTTTATCTGTCTGTATTATTAGGATTTTGGCTGTAGTCTGTTCATTGCTATTCACACGTTGACCCATTGTCTATTTCATGGCGTGGCAACGGGACCTCTGAACCTGGCCTCCTCCATCTACACCAGCATACTGCCCTGCTCGACCCGCCTTGTGGGCTGCATCCCCTCCCCGCCTGGGAGTTGGTTCAGTCCTGCACCGCACCTGTCCTCTTTCTACAAGCGCTACTTGGCCTTGGTCCTCGTTCTGTAGCTTAGGTCTTGGTTCTACAGTCCGTCCGTGTGGAGCGGATCCCTCTCTCAATGTGGATCTTCCTGAGGCTTCTCACTTTTCTCCCACTGGGTTTTAGAGTCTTTCCTTGCCGATGCACAAGGGTCTGTTAGACTATCTAACAAGGACTGTGGTGATGATCCAGGACACTCTTAACAGTCTACAACATTTATGGACAATACATATGTGTTCTATATTTTTTGTGTCTTAACTGTTAATTCTCTGATCTGTGTTGGCAATTTCAATGGTTTTGTTAAGTCCTCTGAGATTACTTCTGTTGTGATTTAGGGCTATAAGAGAATACATTAAATTGAAATGAATTGAACCTGTCCTTCAGAGCCTCAGGGAGACTGCCCAGGACTTCAGGACTGACCTGTCATTTAGAGCTCCTACTCCAGGAGACACCAACCTATGCACGGTTCACATCAAGAGGGTGACCATCATGCCCAAGGACATCCAGCTGGCCTGGAGCATCCGTGAAGAAGGCCTCATCACCGGGTTATATGTTTATGATTAGATTAGACTAGTAATGATTGTATGTCTCTGTCTTTTGTCAAGCCTTTTTTATGTTTTAATGTTGATAATTGTCTCACAGCTTGTAAAGACTTGAAATAAAACATCTGAGAAAATTAGAATATTTTGAAAATAGACTGTAAGCCATAATCATCCAAATGATAGCATAAAATGACTATGAGTCAATATTATATATTAGTTTCACATTTTCAGTTGTTTTCAATTGGCTACTGATAACTAGTGTGCCTATCTATGACAGTGCTATCCTGGTATGTATCAAGCATACAGATAATAAGTGTTTAAAATGCAAATGAGATAGAAAAACCAGCTGTTTCTTACTTCATGCATCTCAAATACATCTACTATTGTCCCACTGTTTTCAGTGCGTGCTTTTCCTGTCATTCCTAGATGAAGCAAATATACAACTACAATTTCCAGACCATTTTGGACACAATAGATACATTTGCAACACATATCATATGAATCCTTAAAGTTGGATTCAAGGACATGCTTTTGGATCCCCTGCATCCAATAGTGTATACACTACAAAGATATTATTTTCAGATTTAGTTTATTTTTATTTTTTGAGTTAGGTGGAGCTAAGAAAGTTGAGTATAGTGTTACAGGCTGAAGATGTCAAGAAGTTTTAAAGATGCATTAAAATGAGTATTGCTCAATAATATGCACAATTTATTAAGTTTAGTCTGTGGGCAACAGTGTCAGCCCTGACCTCCCCTGTCTCTCCCTGCACACCACCGCTTCATGCTGCACTGTATCAGTTCTGTTCCCTCGCTTGTTCTAAAAGTTCATCCAAGTTATGGAGTGAAGTAATTTCTCGCAGTTTATGAGTGAAACAAGGCCTCGTGTAAAGAAGTTAGCATGTTGGGAACTTGTGCTTGTAATAATGCTGCAACATGTTTTTGATGACTATAGATGAGGATTAATCTGGGGAAGAAATTGACATCCAAAGCTTTTTTTTTTCAGTTTGGTTCCCTGTGGCTTTTTGATTTATTTATTACATAATTATGACATGTGTTGTCATTAACAACATGCACCAAAACAAAGCAAACAAAAGCAGAAGAGGTGAAGAGAACAAAGTTGCTCCTGTTAACTAATACATGCTGTAAACTTCCACCTGTGGATCTCTGAACCACGTGACTGAACAAGGAAGCGGAAACGGACTCCAACAGCTGACAGCGCAGATTCGGTATGGAGACAAGAGGTATCTCTCTGCTGCACACCAAACTTACACGTCTGCTGAACACACTTCTCCTCTAAAACACAACAGGGAGATTGTTTTGGTGTTTACCTCTTATCCCACCCACGTTATTCTTTGTTCATAAGAAATAGATAGCTTTTTACTTTTAATGTGGTAGTGAATGTACTAAATGTCGCAATTGCCTATTGTAGATTAGTAGTATGTGTCTAAAATGTCATCACACTATTTAATTATTGTTATAATTGATATTTAATTGTTTTATTCCAGCACCCCGTTTTGAAACAGACTAAAACTACGTAGATTAATTTTTTGGTGTTTTAACATTGTAGTATATACATTATACAATGTGTATGTGATTAAAATGATCAAACATAAGCAATGTAATAAATTCAAGTAATACCATAATTGTATCTTTCTGAACTAAGTTACTTTTATGTTTAAAGTGATATTTTAGCCTCACTCAAGACAAATAGAGGTATGTTTTAGCACTATATTAATTTGCCTTAATAAATATTATCCAGAGAGTCCAACACGTGCCATGGAAAATTATGACCTCTTCTTACATTGAGTAGCTTTTATTTAGACTCATGCTTCCACTATTTTAATAAAAATAAGTCCAGATGATCCAGACATACACTGTCCCATTGGAATAGCTCAGGTATGAATTAAAAACAGCTAAATTCCCTCTAACCCTGACCTACATCCTGCATCAGAGTGAGGCTCTGCTCTTGCATCTATCTCTGCACTCGGCTTCAGCAGTGCTAGCAGCTCAGGCTAATCCGGCTAACGGCTATCGGTTCAGGCTAGTGGCGCTGTGATGGCGGAGCTGGTGCAGGGACAGGCCTCGATCAACCAGCCGGCGCTCAAGACCGACGGCCTGGTAGACGCCTTCCAGAGGGCTCGGCAGGTAACCAATCCCCCTATCTCCCGACCTTCATCTTCCTCGGGCCCACTCACTCCGTTCCCCGCCAGCTCACACACTTTTCCTGCAGCAGGTCCCAACTTAACTTCGGCCAACTTAGCAGGCTAGCGCGCAGGATGCTAACGGCTAACTACGGGGCAAAGCGCGTGTCAGTGGCGCTTTCTCGGGGCGCCACGGGGACTTTGGTCTTTTTGTGGTGAAATGCAGGTGTTTGTGCATAGTTTGAGCGAAGTTTGAGGAGCTGTCACCCCCGCGGGACCGCTGTATTAGGCCCGGGGAAAGGGGAAGGGAAGGGGGGGCAGCACAGAAGTTTGGCCACACGTGTCACTGTTAGTTCTCAACCTGTTGGTGCGCTAAAAAGCATATAAAACTGCGCTTTTGCCGCTTCGATTGCGCTTAGGTCTTGTGATCAGACTGCGCGCAAGACTTTTCAAGCGGTGAGGCGTTTATTTAGAGGAGTATTTGTGCACAGTAGACTCAGTTTAACCTAGGCTTTGCTCTCCTCTTATAGGCTCATGTTTACTGTAAGTTGGTGCGAAACTAGGCTAAGTTATGTAACCAGCGGACAGCCATATACACTGCCGCGGAGGTGTGTCTGCTGCCTATGGACTCTCCGGTGGAAAAGTGAAAAGCAGCGGGTGGAAATGTCTTACGATGAGGCAAATATCTGTCACTGCTCATTGCTCTGGAGTTGCACTTTTTGGAAGCGAGTTGTGCCAAAGTTTAGCTACTGCTCTGCCCCCTTTTTGCCTGTTAACCAGGGGACTACCTAAATGTCAAATACTGAATGACACATCGTCCTTGTGATTGGACTGTAAATGTATGTCCGTATTACAATTGTCATCAGAAACACCAGGGTGTGACTGTATATATTTTGTGGAGTTGCGTAAACAAAGGTATTTCTAACAATGTATCTGCTTGTGTTGCTCCTTCCTTCAGCTCTATCTGTACAGACTTTTTAGGAATACGCAATAGAGACTACTCCACAATCAATGTCTTGAAGACCTCAGACTGATCCAACGTTTGACGTGGATGATATAATAGACTAATGAATACATTTTTTGTTCGTCATATAGGCCATCCTGAGTCGTACTGAGATTTAAAAGCTGTCTCTACTTGTCATGCTCAATCTGGTTATATCTGCTACTTTGGTTTTGCCCATTTTGTTTTCAGTTATGCTAGAATTCTAATCGCTTTTTTTTAGATTATGTGCGGTGTGCACTTTAGAAACAGATGGGGAAAAAAGACATTTGGTCTGATCACTGTGAGCCACAGAAAAGTTACAATCCAGTCATGCCAGCTGATGGTACTTGCTGATGGACCTGAAGACTCATGCTGACCATGTCTCCCACTTCCCAGTGTCCCCCGAAGTGTGTATCATATGTGACTAGAGGATGGCTACTCCATCTCGGTTTATGGTGTCTGCTCTTCACTTCCTTATTTCAATCGCTCTTTGATTCCACGTAGGGCTGGGCAATAAATCGAATTTAAGTAATTAATCGGCTTTTGAAAAAATCGAATTTTTGAAAAATGTGAAAATTGTAAAATTGAATGAAGGATATTGTGAGAGTTCCAGCAGTACATGAATTATAATTGCAATATCAGCACAGTCTGTACAAGACTTTTATAATAAGTATTGGGGGAAACAAATTTTAAATAGTTTTGAAACTTTAATATTGCGCGGAAAGATAAAAAAAAATTAAGGGCAAAGTCTGTCTTCTGTGACTTTAATAAATCGATTTTTAAAATCGAAATCATCCAAAGCAGGATATAAAATTGAGATTTTACTTTTTTGCCATATCGCCCAGCCCTAATTCCACGTTTGAACTCTATTGTTAATATGTAATTACATTCTAAGGTATACTTTGATGTCCATATATGGAAAGACGTTGGATGGATGGGTACATCTGCATTGTATCCATTAGGGCTGGGCGATATAACGATATATATCGCAATAGACATGTGTGCGATATCAATAGAGAATGGGGTCGATAGAATGTTCGATAGTTTAACTTAACTCCGTCAGGAAAAACAGGAAGAAAACACCGGAAGTAAAGCCGACTCATAAGCGCATGGCATTGTGGGAGATGTAGGCAGAGGCTTCTCGACCAATAACAGCCGAGCAGGAACCGCAAAACTTTCTGGGAAATGCAAAAACACAACAACCGCACCATGCGTAGCGTCCATGGATCTATAGCTTGTGTTTCAATGCCGTGTCAATGGTTATGCACGTACGTGCGCGGAATAACATGTGCGGCGGCAGAGGCAGTGGACAGACCCGATGTATGTGTGACTGTAAACAAGGCTGCTAAGGTTGGTTAGCCCACACGACAAATATATTTATTTAGGTTAAAAAAAAAAAACTCAAAATATATTGTTATCGACCGATATGAATGACTTATATCGTGATATAGTTTTCAGCCATATCGCCCAGCCCTAGTATCCATCCATCCAATGTCAGCATCCTGCCAGGAGCAACGCTACAATGCACTGCCTGTAGATCCATTTCTAGTAGGGCTGGGCGATTAATCGATTTTAATCATTAATTCGAGTTTTACGTTTAGGGCGATTTCTTTTTTTAAAAATTTGATTTTTATTTTTTCCAGCGCAGAACTACAGCGCTAACGCGCTAACCGCGGGTCTATGGTGTTGAGCAGTCATTTTGAAGCTAACCTAATGCTAACAGTCTCCCTCTGGCCTGATGCTCGCTCTCACAGTTGGTGCTGTTGCAATAACACTTCAAAAGTTCAAGAATCAGACTTTATTTAAATCGCCAGAACACACACACACACGCACGCAGGCTCCGGTCGCTATGTTCGTACGCCATGTTCGTACGCCACATCTTTCACGCTCTCTCACGCTCGTTATTCCAAAGCGCACTACCGTGTCCGTGGCGCGCACACACTCGTGTCCCACTGAGCCGCTGCACTTTGGGGAAAGACACGTCTCACACTTTGTTCTCATTGCTCTGATACAAACAACGTGTTCCCCGCTGTCTGTTAGCTACAGTAGCTGTTAGCTACAGTAGCTGCTACAGTAGCTGTTAGCTACAGCATCAGAATGTAAACAGGAAGCTCGCACAATGCGGGAGTCACTGAAGTTAGTATTAGCGTCACCAGCTGGACCGAGCGTTGTACTACAGCACAGTTACTCAGGCACAGTTGAAAGAACAAGCATGAAAACCCGAGGAGGCTTTTGGAAAAGACTGTTTGTTACAACATTTCTATTTTGAGTAATCAGTTTTAAAAATGTGATATTTCATGTAAATAATGCATGTGTTTAATAGGATTGATATATTTGCGATGGGCCTTGTTTGTGTGATTTAAGTTATTTTGAAGGTGCATAGTGTCATTGTAAGTGAAGTTATTATAAAACTGTTAAGCTACATTTTCACTGTTTACAATGGCAGAGCCATCTCGTTTACAAGCATGTTTTAAGGCTTAATTCCTGTTACACTTATGCTCCATGGGGATTTAGATTAAACTGCATAAAGGAAAATCTATTTCTTTGTCAGTTGTAGTTTGTTTTTAAATAGAAAAAAATAAATCGATTAAAATCGGATTTGGTGTGAAAAAATCGGAGATTTTTTTTTTTTTTGCCATATCGCCCAGCCCTAATTTCTAGATCTATGCTTGGATGGGAGTCAGGGTTATACATATGGTACATGTTCGGGTGGTGGGGAACTGGAGTGCCCGGAGGAAACATAACCAGCCACTGGGAGAAACATTTAAACTTTGTTCTAAAATTAAACCCACAATAAGCAAAATCTCCAGCTATGTTTAATGCTGTAAAACCTCTCACCGCAAGGTTTATACTTTTCTAACCACCGGAAGTCACAAAGTGCAACAAAATCAAACCTTTTGTTGTAGGTCTGAGGGCTGCTGCAGCTGTCAAAAGCCATGCATACACTGTAAAATCTAGCTGCAGAGGACACTGTGCTTAGGGGCGGGAGCAGGACTGAGGGCTACCGAAAGACGTTAGTCCTCTGGACTAATCACTGCGGTGCACACAGGCCAAAACTTTATATAGAGGTATTTATCAATAATAGGACTTTGGATGCAGCGCATGAGAAGAACTCTGTAAAAATAAAAAAGCATGCAAATTTGCTTAATACTGTTTCCGTCAACACACTTTGTTGAGGTTACCTTCACCTGTGACACTGTGACATTGAAGGTAAACCAATCATTTAAAAAAAATGTCGTCTCCCCAATGCAAGAATTGTTTAAGGATATAGAGCTGTTGATCTACCAAAAGTATTGTCATTGCGATAAGGGCAAATGCAATATCCATATTGCAATGATGTGCAGTAACTTTGAGTTATTAAAATTTGAAAATCAGGCATTTTTCATGCTGTATTCTTGTTTTTACTCTGTGCAACCTTAAATGCACACCGTGAAGTGCCGCTTTGTCGTTGGCCGGTGCACAAACTTGCGTCGCTGAACAATAAATGCAGGTGAACCTGCATTTATTGAGGTGTTCCTAAAAAGACTACAGTTCTTATACATGAGACCTTGTTTCTTCCTCTGCGCCTGCTTTCCTCTTCTGCTGAATTCAGACATTTTCTATGGTAAACAAAATACTATGGGGCTCACTGCTGAACTAAATACAATCCTAATAGAATAAAGAGGTGTTACTCTGACTCTGGCAATTTTACCCAAATTGTTCTTGTTTTTCTATATGTTAACTGTTGTGAATGCATTTTTAACCTGCAATGTATGGAATCCATCCAATTTAGAACACATTTTTTGTTTTATGCAAATTATTTTTTATGGGAATAGAAAATGTTGCAATATACATCATCGCAGTCCTTGACTCTACGATTGCATGTCACACTTTTTCTCCAATATTGTGCAGTCCTTGAAGCAACGCCCTCCTGGCTTAAAGAGTATGGGGAGGATCTGTGTTTCGGAGTGCAGAGTGGAAAGTTAGCTACACTAGTTTGTACCTGCCCAACAACAGGTGCAAAGTGTTTTTAAAGTATTTTGAATCAAACTTAACAAAATATCCCAGCTAAATCTGTGCCAGAAATCAAAATAGTAAAATTTCAACATTAGTAGATGGAAATTATCAACACATTCCAGTTGTGTAGTAGTAATAGCTGAGGAGTTTAGGAGAACTAAACCGTCAAGAAGACTGATGTTTTTACCCCTAATATCGGTAGGGAAAACACTTTGTGTGAAAACATGTTTTCCCCAGATAGATCAGTCCTAATTGCAGTACTGTGCACACAGCGGTCATCGCATGGACAGTACCGTTTATTAACCGCTTCACATGGACCTGCTGTGGTGCCAAACATTTCCTATCTGTGCTTAGTCTGACAAAAAACCCTACATACATTTGCATGCATTTTCACATTGAGAAACTTCACTCAATATTGGAAATGATTAAACTTGTCCAGTTAGACGTTGGAGACTACAGTAAGTGATTTTGTCTGAGCAGATGAAGTGACTGCTGCTCTTTTCTCCTGTTGTTTCCTGTAGACTCACTCAAGGCCACACTTGCTCTGTCGCTTCTGTGCACTCTTTTGTCTGTTTTGTGTCATTGTTTTGTGTTTGTGTGTGTGGCGAAGGTGAGGTCAGGAGCACTTCTTGACTCCTGACTCTCTGTGAAGGCAGGGCTCAAGTCAATAGTAGCAGCTGAGGCTCTGAATGAGGGAGGTGAAAAGGAAGGTCCCACTCTGATGTCACCAGGTACAAATCTAGGTCACAGAAAAGGTCTGGGGAGACGAATTAGTTTTCCAACACTGATTATATGTACATTATATCTAATCAACACCTATATAACTATATATTTTGTTGATATCCAGTGCAAGGATCCACATATTTGGCCAAACCATCTGAGTAAATGATAATTATATTGAAAATAAATACAGTATGCAATAGTGGTGTCCAAGGACTGTCGTCATAATGTTTATTGTCCCCAACCCCCCCCCCCCACACTATATTTGAAGTGATATATATATAGTGTTAAATCACTAGTTTCAGTCACTTCATGTTCAGTATTTTTGACCTCTGTCACATTTTTAGATCAGCTTTTTCAGACCGTAAAGGTGTGCTGTTTTCTGATTTGTTCACAATAATTTACTTTTGGACACAAAAGAAATGTTAAGTTGGGTTAAAAGCCTCCCTGGCTCAGAACTGGTTCACAGCAGCTTAGTTTTATTTATTAAGGTTAAGGAAGTGCATCGTTTTTTAAACTGTTTTAAAACGTTGATTGAAACATACACAAACGCATTGACGCTCATTGCACAGGTATTTTCTGTGCCCCCGCTGACAAGTGTCCGCCTTACTCTCAACAGGAATCTTGAGCGGGTCATACTGTATCTCTGAATCCTGACTTTTTGGACTCTTTAAGATCAAAAGAATGCTGAGACTCTAATCTGTCTTGCATGTCTATGCTCTTTTGCAAACGCCAACTGCTGAATGGAGGGGCAGAGGCAAAAGACTGGGTCAACAGGCACCGGGACCAATAGTATTAATAGATCATGCTTCGGGGGCACCTTCCGTGGTCCTTGCGGGCGACCCTGGTATAAACACTCTGTGGGCTTAAGCAGCAAACAATGGTTTTTGTGTAAAACACATAATTATGCATACAAAAGGATTGCAAGTCTTTTCAATATCAAAATTCCACTTTATTGTGATATGTATTTCTCAGCACCTTCACATAATCCATCCACACTAGGGGTGGGCGATATGGCCTAAAATTCATATTGTGGTATACTTTGGGACACAGACGGTAGACGGTATATATTGCGGTATAATTTGGTGTGTGAATTTCAATATAGGTCTAGCAGGTTCTTGCATAAAATAGTCAAGATTGTTACTTATTTATATATTAGAATCTAATATATATATTTTTTGAGTTAGAAAATCAGTTGTGAGACGAATAGAGACAAATGTTGTAACATACATTATTTGTGTGTTACAGTAAATACCATTCACTGTAAAAGCAATTTTTTAAAAGAAAAACATGTGCATTCATTTAAAATATAAAAAAACTCACAAATGTTAATCAAAGTCTTTAGGAGTTAGACATGGTCATTATTTATAGTGTCAGAGTTTTGTGCAGGTACATGGCTTCAGTAAAAGCTATTGTTCGTTTACAAAGCTGGTCTTGCCATTTGTTGACGCTCCCTAAGCGCTTTTCTCTGCGTTGGCAGTGAACTGGATGATTCAATGGATTTATGTTCATTAAAACAGCGCATTGGATTTGAACAATTGATGTAAATGATGATTTTGGCACAATTAATTTTGTTTAACAAAGTAGCTTTTGTGAGATATTGACCGCGGAGGTCCAAATCTGACGCTAACTTTCCCAAAACGTCTGTGATGCTGCGGACACGGCACACGCATGGATCTATTTTGGCTCACACTGGCGCTTCGAGCCTACGCCCCTTTGACACTGATTGGCCAAAAGGTAGACGCTTAAACTGTGATTACTGTGTGTGTATTTACCTCTGCTGGGGCCGCTGTGACAAGAATACAGAGACAGAAACACGGTGTTAATGCCGTGCTGTTGTTCGCTGTTTCCAGTGGTGTCTGCTAGGCTAATGCTGCTAGGCTAATGTGCTAGGCTAATGCTGCTGAATGCCGGTTTGTTTTGGTGCTTTCTGCTGGCGTCAGAGCCTGCGCAATTTGATGACATAATGAACTATTGCAATATGCCGGTATAACAAAAATCTCTACCGTGGGCCAAATTTATATCGCATACCGCTTATACCGTTTATATCGCCCAGCCCTAATCCACACCCCTCAAGTAAAACGTTATTGCAACTGTAGTATGTAGTGGGTCACACTTGGGTTAGTGGTGACAGTCATACTACTCGTTCTGAAACGTCCATGTTTTGTTCCAATGGAAAAGGCCTGTGGTAGTTGAGTATTAAGCCGGCTCAAAATCACATATTTTAACTCTAAATAATTCACAAAATGGCAGATTAGCCAATAGCGCATGTTAACATGATGTAGGTCTGTCGACCCAATTCACCGGCCAAGAATGACAAACGCTTACTCTGATTTGTTTTTGTTTGTTGGGCAGATGGTGGGAAAGATGGGCGCTGAAGGCCTTCCTCACATGAACAACTCCTCTTCCTCCGTGGAGCAGTCCTTGTACTACAGCGGACAGAAACGGGAGGACACAGGTAAGAATACTACTAACTAACTGCATTGTATTTGGAAGAAATCACTTCAGCAAACCTGCTTTCTACATGCACTACGACATCAGAGGCAGACCCAGTCCCAGACCCAGAGGACTGGGACAAAAAACGGCTTATGCATTTTTGCCGGCTTGATAGCGTGGGCTAAAAACGATAGCGTGGCCATAAAACGAAACTCGGCAAGTTACTGAAAGTTTTCTCGGCTGCATCATGAAAGCATGAACCGGCTGCATGGAATGTCTTTCAGTGCTATGGAGTAGGGCTGCACAATATATCAAAAAAATATTGTTATCGCAATATTGGTGTGTGCGATATCCATATCAAAAATATGCGCAATTAAAAAAAGTCTTTATTAAAGACAACAAAACGGACACACTTCAACAAACGCAGCAAACAAACAAACAAAAGTATATAAATATATGCATTTGAATGTCATTGAAGTTTTTGTTATTTGTCTCTTGCGTTTCAATGCAGATTGCAATTTTAGGTGAAAGAAAAAAAATATTGCAATAATATCCTTATCGCACTACTCAACACTCATATTGAATATTGCTCTAATTTCTAATATCGTGCAGCCCTACTATCAAGTTAATCAAATGTTGTTTCTAAAGTGCTTTTCACGCTCAAAGTGCAAGTAACTCAAAATGCTTTACAGTTTGGTTATAAACCATCCCACATGCTCATGATCCTTCAATCTGACCACCCAACAGACTAGGGGTGGGAACCTCAGGGTACCTCACGATACGATACGCCATACAAAGCTCACAATAACGATTATATCACAATATGACGATTATCGATATATTGGTCAGAAATATACCTATGATTATTAATGGCATAAATAAAAGAAAAAATATAAGTGAATAAATACTTTATTTCATAATTGTAATTGAGATGCGTAATGTAGCCATATAAAGTATTGATATTGTTTTTTAATTTTTTTTAAAGTGAGACTTTGCTTAAGCACATCGATAATCGATCGCGTGAGAAAGTATCAGGATACATCACTATGTTGATTAGGGCTGGGACAACGCGTCAACGTAATCGGTGACGTCGACGCAAAAAATACACCGACGTATAATATGCGCGTCGGTGCGTCACACACAAAACAAAGATGGCGGCGAGCGGTAGCAATGCGAGTGCCGTGTTAGAGAAGTGCAAGCCGGTGTAACGCTGAGATACACTGCCTTGAAGAGATGCACAGCCTCAGCTGTTTATCATGTAATGCAAACCTGCGCATGCGCGTCTCACGGCAGCCGAAGCAAACCAAGATGGCGGACCGTGAATTTCTTTAAAAGTTAAAATACGAACGAATTCAGACACGAATGTCACTTTTAATGCAATTTGAGGCGATATGTTGATGGTTCCGTTTTGTCACATGTGGGTTTTAAGAGTCAAAGTTTTGTGCAAAGTTTAGTTTAAGCAGTCAACTGCGCCTGTGAAACCACAAAGCTAATGTTTTCATAGCAGTCCGCAGCTGCTGACGTAGGCTGATGACGCGTCCTGTGGCCACTCTACACTCTTATGTAGCCATGACAGGCTGATGGCTCCCACTGTTTTTGCTGGAAAAGCACTCTTTGTTTAGCTTAAAGCCTTCAAGTTTACATTGGTTACTGTTTTCTTTTAGTTGCTCTACACAAGTATTTGGCTGAACTTTTTCATATTTTTATTGAATGCTAAGCATCAAATGTTTGTTTCAAGAATGATAAGATGCACTTTTTTCAGTAAGCTGTGTTTTCAAGGCTTTAAGGTTTTATGCTACCTCTAAGAATGTCTTATTTTTTAATTTTAAGAGCAAGCAATAAATTTTTTTTGTGAAGGAATTCATGTTTTCATTAAAATATTTAAATCAACATGTATACATCAATATTAGTCAATTAATGGGGAGATAATCGAGAATCGAATCGAATCAAAATCGAATCGAAGCGAAAAAAATAATCGTTAGATTAATCGATGCATCAAAAAAATAATCGCTAGATTAATCGTTTAAAAAATAATCGTTTATCCCAGCCCTAATGTTGATATATTGTCAGACTCACCCCAAACCATGTTATTTTACGTACACCCACACAAACTCACTCAAGCTAAAAACCTTGCAGCTTTGTGTTGTGCTTGTGTCACTGGGCACTTTTCAAACGGTTCCAAGGAGGAATGGGCTATATGCATGGGGAGGCGTGACGTCATTTCCTGTTGACAAGGAACAGCCCGTCCACTTCAGGTAGAGCTTTGACTATGGCCACTCAGAGAGATTTCTAAACTTTATAAAAACACAATGACGGCACAATCAAAGAGCACTGCTGTGTCCCAAAAAATCCCAATATCCTCACAGTTTAATTCCTGTTTGAGCATTATTTGGGAAACTCGTGTAAACCACTGCTGAACTCCGGTGAAACTCAAGCAGTTTCCGCGAACAGGAAGTGAAGTGGGAGTTAGTAGCTAAAACGTGGAAGTGGTGCGTGCATAGAGCCCATCGACTGGTACCATAAATGCAATTCGGTCTTTTCAACAATAAAACTGGCGAGGTTACCATTTATTCTACTGTACCACTGGGACGACCAGTCTTGCGTATAACGACACCTTGCATATCAGGTGGGAACATTACATTTGTGTCTTTGACACCAGGAGGGAGAAGGATGCTGATCTCAGGACTGACCTGCCACAGACACAGTTAGAGCTTTGGAGAAGTATACTGAGGCCTGAAGTTGAACTGCCTTTAAAGTTGATACCTTAAATAAAGAGCAGTGATCCTGAGGCTCGCGAGCCCATGCAGCATATGACATGCTAGCAGATTACACTAAAGATTTTATTTAGTTAATTTTTGCCATAATGATGGTGATATTTATCACAGATGGAAGCAAAGACCGGGATCTTATGAGCAATTGAGACTTGAATGCACAGGAATATTTTTTCTTTTTGTTGTAAAAATGTTTATTTCCAATATTGCTCAGCATCTAACATTTAGCTTGTGATGAATGCAGATTTTCTCAACTCAATCTGTTTTGTGTGTGCAGGGAACCAGCTGGGAGCCATGAGCCATCAGAGGTACAGCCCCTCTTATTGATCTGTGTGGGCATGTTTATGGAAAGCCTGCAGAGTCTCATTCATAATATAGATCTGATTTACATTTTTTTAGAGCCAGAAGAATTCAAATTTTCTGTGTTGCAGGGTGGTCACAGAAGACTACAAGGTTCCAGACAAAATGGTGGGATTCAGTAAGTATCTGTCTTTTCAAAGCTGTGAGTTCAACTTTTAGTTCCTAGTTTTCACGTGCCTACTAAATTCCTTTTTTGTTAAATAGTAAGAATTTTTGTTATTTCTTGTTTCTTGTGAGCTCTTTACTAAGCACCTGGGTACTTGAAAATATCAGGCAACAAGGCATGGGTGGAGCTAAAAAGGTTTTCAAAGAGCAGACAATGTTGCCATGGGTTAAAGCTTTAAAAGCCATTTCTGCAGAATATGGACCATATTTAAGAAAGGATTGCTCACTTGCTAAACAAATAGCATCCCATTTCATCGGAGCAAATTGGTTTATCCTCCATGGTATTGCTTGTCGAGATGGAAATGGCATGTGCCCAGTTCCCTTTATGACTTGATGAATATGCATAAAACGTGGGTTTTTGTGCAAAAAATAAATGAAGCCATACACTTGGTTTTACGCATGGTTTGCATTAAGCTGGAGAGACGAGTGCAGTCTTGTTGTGGTCTCGTGAAATAAAAATTCATGTGTCATATTTAGAGAAGCTAGGCACTTTGCGTCAGGTGGCAAACGCTCTCCCTACAGTGAAGCAAGATGGAGGCAGCATCATGCGTTGGGATGTTCTTCAGCAACAGGCCAGGGCCAGCTGATATCAGCCCTGTGTCACTGAGGTTTCTTCTGGCTGAAACGCTGTGTGTTTTGCAGTCATAGGGCGCGGAGGAGAGCAGATCACCAGAATCCAGCTGGAGTCAGGCTGTAAAATCCAGATCGCCGCAGGTCAGAGGCAAACCTGACTCTGAGTTTTATTTTATCTTGTACACATGTGACCAGCAATGCTTCTCTCCTGTTTGTTTTGCAGACAGTGGAGGTCTGATGGATCGACCATGTTCTCTCACTGGGACTCCAGAAAGCATTGAGTGAGTATTTAAGCGCTTCTCCAGTTGGGTTCCCAGATTTTTCAATTCAGCAAATGCACAAAATGTTTAGTATGACATCTGTGGATCATTGCCATATATTTTTAGACTTCTCAATACAGATCTTTTAATGTAAACAGTCCTATGCGATTAAATTGGTCAGTTATCTAATTTTAGAGCTCAGAATCTTCAGAACTCACCCGCTGTTATAATCCACAGATCTACTGTTGTTGACGGGAATAAAGTTTACAAAAGAGAAAGCTTACGCCATCCCAAAGCATAAACACAAACAAGTTCACAATGTCACTCAGCCAATTTCAGCTCTGCTCATACTCGCATGCTCTAAGCTCATTTTAAAGCATAGAACCTCAAGAATATAGCATAGTATCTAGTGTTCGAGGATCAACAATCATCCAAAAAATTCAGTTCCACCAAATGTAAAGAATGTTTTACAATCCATGCATTTCCTTTTTAAGTGCCTCACTAAAATGTGTTAGCTGTTAGCATTGTTTGTTATCAGCTTTGGCTCATGATCTAGCATGATGATTTTAAAAAGGAAATTCATAATCATTCATTATTGAAATAGCAGAATCTCAAAAAATAAGTATTTAAAATCCAAACTGGGTTTTCCCTTCGAACTCCAGTTGTCCTGACTATGCAGAACATCAACATGTGTGGCAACGACTGATTCTGACAGATTGTCCTAGTGCCTTTGAAGGATGGGTCAAATGCAGAGGACAAATTGCACTAATCCTTTGGGGATCAATAACCTATATTACAAGTATACTATCTATGAAATAAATATTTCATGAATAATGTAATGGCCAATTTGAGCGTCCATGACATTCTGCTTTTTACCTTTTTATATCCTTCTATTAATTTAAAGAGGTGAGGTTTGATTTGAGGACATACTTTTGTAAACACATGCGTGTGATTCTCAGACAGGCGAAGCGCTTGCTGGTTCAGATTGTAGATCGCTGCAGAAATGGACCCGGCTTCCATTCGGACTCTGACGGAGCAGGTGCAGTGCAGGAAATGCTCATCCCGGCCAGTAAAGTGGGTCTAGTGATCGGCAGAGGAGGAGACACCATCAAACAACTGCAGGTATTCTGCACATTATTCATGCAGATGATGATACCACCACCATGTTTGACGGTGGAAAGGTACAGTGTTTCTTTAATGCCAAGCATATGGTTTTGCTTCTGACCAAAGCACCTTCTTCCACATTTTTGCTGCATCACCAAACAAAACTTTTGAGTTTTGTATTTGTTTTTGAAGAATGGCTTTCTTCTAGCTACTTTTCAATAAATGCCAGATTCATGCAGTGTATGACTAATTAGTTTAATTATTAACATTTATGGACAGTGGTCATCCTGCCCCCTATGGACCAAAGGCTTCTATTTGTTAGTTGCATTTTCTTTGTTCAAACTGTTAGATTCTCTGATTTGTTGTCCTCCCGAGACAACGGCTGTTGTGATTTAGGGCTATACAAAAATACATTTAAGTGAACGGTGGTCAGGTTCCCCCACCTGAACTATGCGAGGTCGGTCATCCATTTAATCACGGAATGATGAACTCACCAGGTCAATTCATGATGTGTTAGAATTAAAGAAAATATATTTTCAGTCAGCCACAAGCCAGACAAATCCGCCGTCTGATTTGAGTTTGTGACTTTAGGAGAGAGCTGGAGTGAAGATGATGATGATCCAGGACGGGCCGATGCCCACAGGAGCAGACAAACCCCTCAGGATCTCAGGAGACCCCTACAAAGTCCAGGTAACTCCAATTTCTTAACAGTGTGCTCACTACCATTAGGAAGACTTTTCTCCTTTGATTTTATGTTTACGTTTGGGGATGTCTTCTCAGGCGGCTAGAGAGTTGGTTCTGGAGGTGATCCGTGAGAAAGACGGAGACTTCAGAAGAAACGATTTCAGCGCTCGACTGGGGGGAACCTCTGTGGACGTAAGATTCTGAGACCATCTTAAAGCTGCTTTCCATCTCTCTTCAAATCTGTTTTCCTTTTTTCCATTGCATGTCTGTTACAAATTTTATCATTATCTGAAATCATGGTTTTATGAAACAGAATTTTTAGAAAAACAGGCTTATTCTAAATAGAATGTAACGTTCGGTTTATCAAAACATATCACAATTTTTAATGTATAAAACTAGTGAATTTCACCTAGATATTTTCAGAAATTAAAGAAAATGTGTTATATAATAGTTAATGAAAACACAATTTTGACAAATAAATGATAATCGACCTATTTTTACTATTTACTCAAAACGTGCCAGCGCAACATCCGATGGGTTTTCCCTGATTGCATCACATATTAACCTTCTATAGATGTTATCCAGGTAATTATGGCTAATCTGGTGTCTATTTTTATAATTTAATGTGTATTTATCGCTTCTGCTTTGTCAGGTCCCTGTGCCGCGGTTCGCTGTTGGGATAGTGATCGGACGGAACGGCGAAATGATCAAGAAGATCCAGAATGACGCTGGAGTCCGAATTCAGTTCAAAGCAGGTAAAGTACAGACGACACACCTTGCCAACAGTCATCTCGTGTGTGAGGCCTGATGCAAGTTTTGTTGTGTTCAGACGACGGAATCAGTCCAGAGCGTGTGGCTATGGTCATGGGACAGATGGACCGCTGTCAACACGCCATCCACATGATCAACGAGCTCATCCAGACTGCACAGGTGAGCTCTTTTAAACAAATCGTTTTTTGTGAACTCCTTTTGTGGCATCTGTGTGAGTGTGATGAAATGACACTGACAATTGACTACTGTACTTTTTTTTATAATCAAAATACTGATAACAAATAAAATCACATTATCATCTATAATTAAACTTTAACACAAACACTCAACAATAACAAATTAACCTAAAAACTGTTCAAGGAAAAACTAAAAAGATTGATTCTAGTTGGTCTATGGACCTGACCCACATAGCAATGGTTTCCTTACCGGTGTGTACTTGCGCTGACGTCGTCCAGATAAGCGATGTCAGTCATTTACAGAATCCATTGTCGGATAAACTGTAAATGAGATTTCCACCTCATTGCAGTTTTTTTTTTTTTTTTTTTACAAAGAACTATAACTGAGTGCTTACTGAATTACTTATTGTTATTACCAACACTGCTCATACAATACAACACAAAGCACTGACACTCAGTCAAGACACAGGATCAAACATTCTCCGACCCTACACCTCTCCCCCATCACTTGCTCTGTAATGAGGGAAGCGCTCTCTTTAACCTTTGTGCTATCCTTGGGTCAAAATCACTCGCCACAGGTGATTAAAAGTAGAAGACAAATGCCATAAATTAGGGTCCATCCATTTTCTTCCCCTTAATCAATTTCTGGGTCGGGGGTGGCAGTCAGAGCTGCACCCAGTATACAGCACCAGCGCCTCATTGATCCTCCTGCAGGTGGTGAGTCCACAGGAAGAATGTCGTTGTGGGTCGGGGTTATGTGTCTTGACCAAGGACACGACGACGGCAGACATCAGTGGGAGTTGATGGAAAAGGTCTATAGTGGGCTTGAACTCGTGACCTTTGACCAATGCTCTACCAAATGAGCCACTGTCGCCCCAAAGCTAGGGAAAGTCATCATACTTCAGCCCGAAAGAAAATTATAATCTGGGTGGCTGCGCTTTTGGTTCACAGCAAGAAGGTCCTGGGTTTGATTCCACCTCCCAGGACCTTTCTGTGTGGAGTTTGCATGTTCTTCCCATGTCTGCGTAGGTTTCCTCCAGCTGTTCTGGTTTTCCTTCCACTAAAAACTTTTACAAAAGGTGTGGCATGCTCCTCCTGTGTGGGGACCCCGCTCCCATGTGTGGAGTGAGAGAAAAATGCCCACAACAATTGTAAAGCGCTTTGTGAAAGGTGCTGTATGAATAAAGATTACTTAGTTGATCACTGTGGCGGTTCAATTTGACCAGGGTTGGCACAGGACACTTACTAAAGGGTGTGTTTCTGTGCAGGAGCGTGATGGCTTCAGCTCTTCTCTCAGGGGAAGGGTCCGGAGTCGTGGGGAATGGCCCATTGGTTCTCCCGGCCCCCTTCAGGAAGTCACCTACACCATCCCGGCAGACAAATGTGGCCTGGTCATCGGCAAAGGTAATGCACAACTTCTTGACCCGTTTGTATTTGGAGAAGGCAGATTTAGTGCTTTTCAGTTGTGCCTTTTAGTAGTATAGAACTTCTTTGTTCACGGCAAAGATCTAAAGCCCAGGGTCGTAATGAGTGAGACAAGCTAGCTGTTTTTCACTTTTTTTGATAATAGGCATAGTTGTAGATATTAACATTTAATCAATAGTGAAGGGATAAAATTAGTGTGGATACAGTTCGATCCAATGACTTCTATTCAGATTTATTGAAGATTGATATAAATACACAAAATAACCGCAACTGCAGAAAGATGAGCTATCAACAAAAACATCAACCCTTATTGGTTGATGTTTAATTATGACGTCATGTACATCACGACTATGATAAAGGTTGGTGGCTGCTAATGGCCTCTTCGTTAGAGCACAATGTCTCTGAGCTGGTCTTTGTAGTACGCACAGGAATGAGGACCCTCAAACTCAATGCACACCAGGAAGGAGGTGGAAGATGCGTCTAAATGTCTGTTGTTGTATTTATGAACTATTTCTTATTGTTGACATGCCGTGGTCTGCAAACAGAATTGCCCTCTGTAATAAATAAGGTTGTTTGATTTATTTATCCATTTTCAATGAGGTAACACAAAAGGCGCGTAGTGACCCGTGTCTCAATTCAGAATTGTGTCTGAAAACACCTACTTTTCTCACTCTGCTCTGTGAGCAAAGGGACCAGCGCAGCAAAAGAGCCACAGAAAAGCCCCCCCTTCTCTCCAGAGTCTCACTTTGCCAGAAAGATAAACTGTATCACTAAACTTACTGTGATCATGATGTAATCAACCCATTTCTTCTCTTTATAAAAACCTCTTAAAAACACAGCACTGTTCAAAAAGCCCCATGGAGAGGTCAATGCCTGTGTTTCCACGTTTGTTTAGATGTGTCGAGCTCCAGTGGTTTAGCCACCTCAAAGCTGGAACTAGACAATCTTGGGAACTATATTTTTGTTTCTAATATTGAATCTTGATTTTTGATTTGGGGCGACAGTAGCTCAGTTGGTAGAGCATTGGCCTTAAGCCCAGAAGGTTGTGGGTTCAATTCCCACCTCTGCACCTTCTCCACCGACTCCCACTGATGACTGCTGTCGTTGTGTCCTTGGGCAAGACACTTAACCCCACTTTGCCCAAAGCTCCCACTGAAAGATCAAGGCTATGCTCACAGTCAGAGAGCAGCCGTCCTCCTGTGGACTCACCACCTGCAGAGGGTCAGTGAGGGGCTGGTGCTATGAGACTTGGGTGGCATCTCTGATTGCCACCCCCCTGACCCAGAAATGGGTAGAAAATGGATGGATGGATTTTTGATTTGATGTATAAAGTGACCGGGATCGCCCATAGGCAGACGCTTTACATATTAAATGTGCACATATAAACCATATATATGTGCACATATAAACCAAACATTGTGAACAGTACAATTATTCCCCAGCTGCAAACTCTCAAGACTGCAGAGGGCAGCACTGCACTTGTAGGCTCTTTTTGACCGCAAAGTGCTGATGTCTCACTGAACCACAAAGCAGTTTTTTTTTCAAAGCGAAATGGACTCGACCTTGACAAATCCAACTTTTTTTTTCCTCCTACATGTTTAGTCTGTCTTGAGCGCCCATTCAATGCTCTCGATGCTTGTTTACGCCTGTGTTAGACCTTGTTTGTTTTGTCCTCCCTCCAGCCTCCCAGATTACTCTGAATGTGATGTTAATATTTTGGACGCAGCCTCTTTTGAGAGTATCACAATGGAGCCTCTTAAACGCTCCACAAAGAACAGTCAACACTAACAGCCCCGGCCCATATGGTGTCTGCTGCCACTCCCCCCTTTGAGCACTTTTATTGTGGCGGGCCGACCCTCTTGACCTCGTGCTGATGGCTTCTCAAGAGGCTTTTATTCTCTCGCTCTCAGCCACCAACCACTTCCTGTGCACAGTCTTTAGACCAGGCAGGACTCCAAGGAAGCAGCAATGGGATTAGCAATGAGTACATCATAGAGACCAGATCCTTTGTGGAGAAAAGTCAGATGCGTCTCATCTCAGATGGTTTGAACGGGAACATAGGCTGCTGGATATGTGGTATGGATTAAGTGCCATAAGTTCCTTTTCATTTACAGACTGAACTTTGTTTGAGGGATTTGGTGAATAGATTAAGAAATATTTTATTCAATGTTGGTTCGGCAGTGGACTCAATAATAGAACTACTATATAAATATGTTGATGTTTACAATGACGATAAAGAAGCAGAGAAGTCCCTTGACACAACTTCAAAGGTCCTGGTGTCTGTGAAGAAGTAGAGTCACAGCCTGCTCAAAACCAGCTCCTCCTTAACCTGCGTTAGCAACTCTTGTATCATGGTTGAACTGGAACCCATGGTGAAGACATATGTCCACAAGCAAGTGTCGCTGGATATAATGTGAAATGTTATAAATCGATTCTCTTCCTTATGTTCCCTTACAGGAGGAGATACTATAAAGAGCATAAACCAGCAGTCAGGAGCCCATGTGGAGCTGCAGAGGAACCCCCCACCCTCCACTGACCCCAGCACCCGTGTCTTCACCATCAGAGGCACTGCGCAGCAGATGGAGGTCGCCCGACAGCTCATCGACGATAAGATTGGGGTGTGTACATCTACCACAGCTATAATCTGGAGTTTCACTAGGACTCTTAAGCCCAGCTATTTTCTCATCAGTAGGTTTGCATATAGAGAATTTATACAGCCCAACACACTTAATTCACTTTTAACCCTTGTGCTATAGACAAAATTCAAGTCAAATTGACCCACCACAGTGATTCAAAAAATACCCTACATACTTATTAGCTGAATTTTGATGATTCTTCCTAACTTGACCAGCCCTGGGTCATTTAGACCCTAATTTAGGGTATTTTTCTTCTTATATTAATCTGTGGCGGGTCGATTTGATGTGAGGATAGCACAAGGGTTAAGATTTACAATAGTTGGATAGATTTTAGAATTTTAAAAACTAGCTAAGGAATAAAGGCCAGGAACCACACCGGGTTACATCTGTTGTCTACAAGGATAACCGCTGTGTCACACAGCGTTGCTTTTGTCTCATTGCAATATTTCTCTTCCAGGGCTCAGGGATCATGAGTAATGGTGGGTTTGGCTTCAGTCCCTTCACTCAGGGTCCAGCCACGCACCAGAAGTGAGTTGCTGTTACAGTACTCGTAGTAGTTTTCATAGTATTTGTATTTGTTTTGCTGACTGATTTTGACTTCAGCTGTGGCAGTGGGCAGACCTTCCTGACCGGAGTGTGGGGAAACACCTACCAGACCTGGCAGAACCCTCCACAGCAGGACCCAGGTACAAATGCCTACTTTAATATTCTGGTCACCCAAACTGACATCGCTTTCTGGTCGAGAGGCTGATACCATATCATCAGTAACACACTATAGTCCTGCAGTGCCAGACGTGTCCGTCTATTTAAGACAGTACATCTACAGGGCAACGAAGGAGAGGCCTCATAAGAAACGGTCCTGGAGCGGCCTCTCCATTCTCTAGGACAGCCTCAGCAACAGCCCCTAGCATCACTGCTCTAGAATCTGTGTGAATAAACTTGTGAGGACTTACAGAAAAAGTTTGATGTCTGTCATTGCCGACAAAGGGTATATAACAGTATTGAGATTTTTGTAATTGACTAAATTCTTATATCCTATATATTTTACAAATACATTGTTTAAAAATGTGATTATTAAGGATCTTTTGCTCTCATAGTTGAGTTGTACCCATGTTGACAGTTACAGGCATCTCTAATCGTTTTAAGTGGGAGGACTTGCACAATTGGTCTAATGTATTTTTTCCTTCTGTGCCACTACAACAGTGCTAGTTTTCAGTTCAGTGCTAATGTCATAGACAGTGTTCTGTTTGATTTCTAGCAAAGTGCATGGATGAAAGGCATTCATAATCACTCAAATTGTGTTAATTGATTTTTTTTTACCTAAAAATGGACAAATAATCATCAGAGTTGATTAACGTGGTATTTGTGGTGTGTAGGTCAGCAGAGCCAACCTCAGAGCCTGATGACAGACTACAGTAAGGCCTGGGAGGACTACTACAAGAAACAAAGTGAGTGCACGCTGCACTCTAAATCTGTCACCACTGAAATAAGAATGCTCCTGGGTTCAGAACAAATTCCTTCATAAATACTGCTCATATTCACCGGTGACATGTGGAAGCTCAATTTTTTTAAAAGCTTTAACCTTGTTACACTGTTCTCATTTTCCCATCGACTTTGCAACTGAATTAGTACATTTTTATTCCCTTGCATTCAACACCAATGATCTTTTAACCAACACACGACCACTGTTCTTTAAAAACAAATCTGCTCCTTACTGTGATCTGTAATCCTGGTCCACAGTGAAATGTTCTTGTTTCAAAATTGTTCTTAGTTTACCTATATACAAACGTCCTACGCTGTTGTTTTGCGTCCAGGCCAGTCGTCTCAGCAGAATTCGGTGCCAGATTACACCGCAGCATTAGCAGAATATTACAGACAGCAGCCGTACCTGTGGAACGCCGCCCAGATACAGGTGAGCACTGCAACGGGCAATGCTTTCAGGACGACACGCATGACACTGTCCCCGCATCAAAAACACATATAGACATGTTATCAGCTTCCTGACGAATGTTCAGCACAGAGTTCACTTCATACTTCATACAGTACTGCGCAAATCTTTGTTCTGGTATTAGTAAAAGGTATTGCTGGCTTTCAGTCACGTGACCCGGTACTTGCTGTCCACCATGTTTGCGCCCCTATGGCTGTAAACAACCCCAGTACGTTGAGACGTAAACAAATGTTATAGTCACCTGCACGCATCTGCCAGAAACAACGTTCACAACAAAGTTGGGAACTCGTGCCATTTTTCTTTCGAGTTGAAGGATGCACAAGTTGGAAAAAACAAGTCAAGAATTGGGGTCGACAGCAGCTGGTCCCTTCAATTGTGCCAATCTCTGATCTATCCATCTATAGATATATAGATGGATAGATACTGTATATACTTTATTGGGAAATTCAGGTGTCCAGTAGCAGCAGAAACTCATCCATCCATACAAACAAAACGAATTAATAGATAATTCTAAAAGTAGCTTATATGCCGAATAACTGATTATAATCCTAACATTAGTTTTAATGCACTGTTGATCTGTGAGCCTCATTGATAACACATTACAATGCAGACTCAAACATGGGCGTTACCTAACCCGTTAGCATTTTTGAGCAGTTTTCTCTGGGCTCCGGTACTATGTAGCTACTGAAACTTGATGGCATTAAAATCCATGAGTGTGCTGTGACATTCGTGAAAACATCCCAAACTCGCTGTATCAAACCCAGAACCAATATTCTCTCCTCGGCATTAATATAGAAGCTACATGACTGATCTTTGTGCCCATTGTTTTAGTGTAACTAAACGTGACATCACATGAAAGCCAGCAATTGTCCAGCCCAGAGAGAAAACCGAAAGGGCATTACATTTGGTACATTGTAGCTTTTATTTCTTCAATATCCAAATGAACTGATGAAAGTACCAGATATTCAATCATTTAACATGGAATGGTTTTTTACTTTCCAAATCCTGAATTGATGTTTGATTCATAAGTCCAATTTCAAGATTGAGTTTAAATTCTATTTTTTACTGTAAATCTGTAGTTAAACAGTGAAAAGCCTACCATCAAGGGGCATCTCGATGGTGACATTCATCTTTCTCCAATCCATGAAGCTACCATGATTGTCTCGTAATGTTTTTCTGTAATCATTACTAGGGATGCACTGATATTATAATGTTGCCTGATTTCGATATCCAATATACATTTTTCTGTTATGGCCGATGTGGGTTTATTTTTTTATTTTTTCTGGGATGATAAAAGTTTGTACATACTGATAGGGCTGGGCGATATAAACGGTATAAGCGGTATGCGATATAAATTTGGCCCACGGTAGAGATTGTTGTTATACCGGCATATTGCAATAGGTCATTATGTCTTCAAATTGCGCAGGCTCTGACGCCAGCAGAAAGCACCAAAACAAACTGGCATTCAGCAGCATTAGCCTAGCACTATTAGCCTAGCAGCATTAGGCTAGCACATTAGCCTAGCAGCATTAGCCTAGAAGCATTAGCCTAGCAGCATTAGCCTAGCACATTAGCCTTGCACATTAGCCTTGCACATTAGCCTTGCACATTAGCCTTGCACATTAGCCTAGCAGCATTAGCCTAGCAGACACCACTGGAAACAGCGAACAAAAGCACGGCATTCACACCGTGTTTCTGTCTCTGTATTGTTGTCACAGCGGCCCCAGCAGAGGTAAATACACACACAGTAATCACAGTTTAAGCGTCTACCTTTTGGCCAATCAGTGTCAAAGGGGCGTAGGCTCGAAGCGCCAGCGTGAGCCAAAATAGATCCATGCGTGTGCCGTGTCCGCAGCATCACAGCAGAAGTTTGGGAAAGTTAGCGTCAGATTCGGGCCTCCGCGGTCAATATCTCATGAAAGCTACTTTGTTAAACAAAATTTATTGTGCCAAAATGACCATTTACATCAATTGTTCAAATCCAATGCGCTGTTTTAATGAACATAAATCCATTGAAACATCCAGTTCACTACCAACGCAGAGAAAAAAGCTCAGGAAGCGTCAACAAATGTCAAGACCAGCTTTGTAAACGAACAATAGCTTTTACTGAAGCCATGTACCTGCACAAAACTCTGACACTATAAATAATGACCATGTCTAACTCCTATTTGTGACTTTTTAAAATATTTTAAATTAATACATATGTCTCTTTTTTATTTGCTTTTACAGTAAATGGTATTTACTGTAACATATATAAATAATGTATGTTACAGCATTTGTCTCACAACTATACTACAAATATATATACTATATTATAATATATAAATAAGTAAAAATCTTGACTATTTTATGCAAGAACCTGCTAGACCTATATTGAAATTCACACACCAAATTATACCGCAATATATACAGTCTACCGCCTGTGTCCCAAATTATACCGCAATATGAATTTTAGGCCATATCGCCCACCCCTACATACTGAATTTCTTCTTTTTTCAGAATATATTTTATTTCCAAATACCAAGGTTCCAAGGCGGAAAACGCACACACAGGAACTTTTTGTGGCTTAGGTTTCACTCAAAATAAGAGTGATACTATTTTCAATGCCGTGTACGCCTTGTATTGTTTGAATGAGTCAATTTTTTTCAACAATGAGGAGGATTGAGCGGCTGTTATAGTGACAAGAGTCGAGTCACTCTGGGATCAACAGAACCAGTACTGCGTTTTATCTCTGAAAGTCGGCGAAGTGAAGACTGCGGACTGTCAGCTGTGTTTGTGGCAGATGCTACGCAGGCTAATGCTAACCCCCTTCTCTTCTGTTCCTTTTAAGGCATTATCCAAAAAAATTACACCCGTTAGAGAAATACATTTTAGAAAAATTGAGACTCCACTTGACACAGGCAGTTGCCACGAGCAGTTGCCACAATTGCTCACGCCAGAGAAAAAAGAGCATTTAGACTCGGAATCAGTGAATAATTACATTGTTCTTAATGGGGAGATTTACTTCCTGTCCCTCGGGACTTTCACGCCGCTGCAACCCAGCGATACACATCAGTTGTGATTATTGGCCCAATTTTACGCATCTGTTCGATACCGATAGATTAAAAAATTAACATTGGCCGATATTTATACCGATATATCGTGCATCCCTAGTCAAATGGCTTGCATTGGGGGCTGTGGTCTCTCATGAAGAGTTGTGGTCCTCCTGCAGATGTCTCATAAAGCTCTGTGAGCGTTATGAAGGGTCTGTGCTAATCAACTAAACCTGTTGTTTCGTGTCTCCTCAGGATCACTAGAGGCCCCCTGATGGCTCGGATGGGCGTTCCCTAACCACGCTCTGCCGCTTCCTCCTTTCTTTTTTAGACAAAAAATTACGGAGAATTAACTTCAAAGAAATCACAAACTTTTTCGTTTCTTTTTGTTTTTTTTTTAACCTGAAATGTTGTCGAGGCAGATATTTTTTTGGATGAGGCAACAGTCTCCTCACAGTTTAGACCTCAATTTCAAAAAAATTTTTTTTTATCAAACTTGAAAAATGTATCAGTGTGGCTTTGAACAAACCGAATATATATGATAATAATAATCTATATTTTGTGCATTTTCCGGTAAACACAAACGGTATAGGGCTTAGCAGTCTTGAGTCACGAATCAGAATATTATTTTGATAATGTTATAAAAGCATGCTACAGACTGTGTTATTTTTTATGATAGAGATGTTTTATCAACGAAAGTCTATGCCGTTGTCAGAGTCTTTTGTACAAAAAATACTTTCGGTTTATTTTCGGATTTTGAATTTTACAAGTCGTCATCTTGGAGGTGCAATGTTTTTGTTTTTGTTTTTTTTTTTTTGAGTCTGATGATATCTCCTAGTTCTTATTCCTGTATCCTAGTGATTTTTAGTTTTTTGAGAAATGTATATTGCATTACCGAAATAAGCCGCATCTCTCTGTGGTCGAAACTTGATATTTTTGGATTTTTTAAAGTTTTCCCGCCATAATTTTACATAGATGATAAAAAGGGCGGGAGAATTTTTGACTATTTTCTTACACAGTGCAACGTTATATTATTCTGTTATTACAAATGTGAGGTTTTCTACTTTGTCGATTGTTTGTAGAAGTTAACAATGAAGTTGTCAGTTGTCTATGTTTTAGCGATACTGGCGCGTTAGCTCAATGCTAAAGCTAAGCGCTGTTTCAAGTGTTATTCAGATCTGTGCTGAGGGTGAATGCTTTTCAAGTAAATGATTGTTGGTCGGAGCGGTGCCTATTTAAATGCTAGTGTGTGTTTGAGTGTTAGCAAAGCCACTTTGCGTTCAAAGGGGCAGGACATTGGGGAGTTCGGTTGGGACTGTGTCGTTATCTTAACTTTTTGGCACTTTCATTGCTTTTTTTGTAAATCTATTTGCCAGAAATAATTGAATCCCAGACCACAACACTTGGAAGTTTGTGTTCTTCCATCAATTAATTTTTCGATCTAATAATAAGAGTTAGAATTCACTCTAAAATGTTTTTTTTTTATATATACAGGCAAGTTTTGTCTCGATGCTAAAGTTGAAACATGATGCATATTCAAATGAATGCCACAGCATTAGATAATCTGTGTAGAAAACAATTGGGTTGGCTAGCTAAGAACTGCGCAACATATCTTATTGGGATATAGCTACTTATACAACTTTCACATTAGGAGACAACAGAAAATTCATTCATCCTTTGTCACAAACGTGCACAGCTAATTTTGGCTAACTAATGCTAATGCTAACGTCCCAGCTGGAACTCTCCGTTAAGCCTTCGTTGTTTGGGCCAATGTGCGTTTTGTCGTGTAAAGTCTGGGAATATTTTTCACGTCAGGGCTAACTGCTGCTGAACTGTGAGTTGTCTCCTTTAGCTTTTTTGAGAATTTTTCACACTGTTGCTCGATCTTGTACAAAAAATTGAAAAAATTTGGGTTGTTGATGTATTACTGCGACTTTATTGTGACAAAGGTATATTTTCTTGGTGAATCATTTTTATCTGTTTAGTAAATAATTTGAATATTGTTGACATTGCAGCCTTTGCCGCTGTTTCTTTCGACCACAGAGAGAAGGCCCTATAATGTTGATGGGTTTTTGTTTTATTTTTTCTGATTTTCTCCGTGTATGTGTGCAGATAATGATAATAATAAGAGGTTCTCCTGTACAGGGCTCTATATTTAAATCCATTTTTTGTTTGTGTTTCCATGGCGGGTGCTGCGATAGTTAAAAATGTACCTTATTTTTAAAAAATTGTCAAATTGGATTATTGTCTAACGATTGAAACTGTGTTAATCATTCAAGACTGCTAGGCTAATCATCTGTCTCCTGTCTGTCCTGCCTCGGTGATGCTAAGCCACCACGCTAACATGATTGCTTCCTTTTCTGTTAATTATGCTTTTTTTAACATTGAATTATTGTCCATTTAACATTACGTCCTGTTCAACTTGCTATACATGTTTGAAATAGAACCAATATACAACTGTCATTTTAAAATTTAGCGTGTCGTAGCCTCTATAGTAGCATTGAGTTTGTCATAATGACTTGGAGCTGGGATATCGAACGTTCAAACCACAAGTGGAACTATGTAATAATATCCAGACTAGTTCCTCTCAATCCCTAGTTTTCACGTTCATTGTAGTTTTGGCTTCTGTCACAAATTTGATCAGCTTAAAGCGTCGCAGAAAAGTATATAAAAGTGTTTTCTAATGAGATTTTTTTTTTTTACTTTCTGTTGAAATAAGTTGTACTCCAGCTTTAAATGCTTTGACACAATAACATCTGTTCCAAGAAGCAACGTGACATTGCAGAATTAATTTGTTATTTTAGAAAGAAAAAATTTGTTATGTCTGTTGGAATCCATTTTAAATTTCCATAATGACCTCCAGCACATGACAATGAAATCAGCTTCTTGGGCCCCAATGAAAATATTTTGTAAACATTGTAGAATAATTCATTTTACTGTCTGCTAATGCTGCCAATTTATGATTCTATGACTATTGCAACCAAATATTTTTAATGTTTGACTTTTGACATTTTTTCTTGTTTTTTAATGCGCAGAAAATATATAATTTTAGTTGAACTAATTTATTTTGCTTTTGGAATGTTCATAACTGTATAAAATGGCGATTTAGCAGTAGCATATCTCTTGGCGTTGTGTTGGCAACTTGTTAGCATGGTGGCGCCTTCTGAAGAGGCAGTTTCGGGATTCTCTCCCAGTTTAATGTCATTCTAATGATTTGAGTAATTATTGGTGGGTCATGGCTCTGCTCTGGTCCAGGACTTTCTACTCTGTGAAAATGAGCTGTTTTTTTCTAACATGGAGCAGAAAAAGCAAGATTTTGTAGATTGACACAGATGGGATTGTGTTGAGGCCGAGGGGCAATGGAGGATTAACACCAGGGCTAATAAAGCTCTTCTTTCTGAGTATCAATGTCTGATTTTCTTTCCCTTTGAACAACTTCACTTATGGCTGTAGCGTTGGGGCAATAACCAGTGCTGCAATAACAATACTGCAGAACTCGGGCATAAACCTTTTATTGGAGGGAAAAAAATGGCTGTTGTATTTGTGAATAAATCAAAGGCTACAAAACTACAGTGCCACAGCCATTACTACCACACAGTGGAAACATGCCGTGCAGAGATATCTTGAACTCAAAAGTCCACATATAATTTATCTATTTCATCATTTTGACGAAGGTTGCCAAAAAGCAACAGTTGGTCATTCTACAGTTTCACAGCAAAAAATGCATAAAAGGAAAGGTCCAGGTGGAATACACATGAAATTCATGTTGACGTTGGTACATTTGCAATGGTGATTTTGGAGGTAAATCCCAAAACATAACAAATGTACCATTTTGTATAATGGAATTTGAGGGTCGCATCTCGCATTGCCAAGAGTATATTTATTTTTTTATCAATGGCTGACAAATTTGTTCCAGTACATAACTTTGATAACAGCAGTGAGGTTAATTGATTAATAATTTCACTATAATAGTAAATTATTTAGAAATTTCACCTTTTTAAAATTTCCATCTCATCTCAAATGTGTCCCTTTTGTCCCCAGCTCAAAAAATTGCATGTATTATTGCACAAAACAATGTAAACAAAATTGGTTACTGAGCTTGCTTCTCCACAAACCTGACTCTTACTTGCATAATATTATGTGTATATATATTTACAGTCTATGGTACATATTTCAACTATGTTCATATATGGTTTTAATGTTGCATTTCCCTGGAGTCATGCAGGTGAATCTGAAGCGCTTGTTGCTGTAATCACTATATTTCTATAATTTAACTCTAACCACACAGTTGTGCAGGTAAAAGATATTCAGTTATTAAAGTGGAAAATGATGCATTGTATTTTAATAATGCAATGTATGAACACGGCCATGCAATATAAAACTAATGTTTAATTTTTCTTCAACGCAAACTTGCAGCCTGCAAGGCAACATAATGGCTTTCCTCTTGCAATATTTTTCCAATAGCATGATTTATTCTAATGCAGGTTTTTCCCAGCATTTGTCATTTCCACTTGAAGCTTGCAATGAGCCCTAATCAGGGCTGGACTGGCCATCGGGCAATGCCCGAAGGGCCGATGCCCATATTTGGGCCGGTCTGTCTGCCTCATACAAAAAACATGTTTGTAAAAAATGTAAATCCGTTGAGAAATGTTTGAGGGGAGCACGCGTGTCCGCGGGGCCCCTGCTGTATGTACTCGAACGGGATTCCACCACCTCAGCGGCCGCAGTGTTCCAGCATCCAGCGGCTCTGAGCTGGACACAGGAACCGCTCACAACACAACACGGTGAGCGCGTAGCCGCAACGTGACCATGTACCCAAGTTCATAAACGCGCACAGGACCATGCGTAATTTGTGCACCCAATAAATACACCGCTCCAGAAAAAAGGCCGCGTCGCACCTCTCCTCTAAATTAAAGCTCGGGTACCTAAATTTTCCATTGCATTAAAAGTACATGTTTGAGCCCAAAAATTAAATGTTGTGAACAGATTAAACAGATTTAGAGCCAGCTAATGGCTGACAATATGCATTTCAGAATTTTTTACCAATTCTCATCCCTGTAACAAACAATATTGTCTGTGCCCACCTCCCTCACTCTGAGACATGTTTATTACTCTGTTTAATGTAGACTATTGTACTTTATTTTATTGTTGAAACTGGAGAGATCCTGATCCTCTACAGTATTTGCTTCCACATACTGTATAAACTAGGGGTCGGCAACCTTTAGCTCCTGGAAAGTGGCTCCTGGAGCCTTTCCAAAATGTCT